CATTTTTTATTATATTAAATGCCAGTATATCATCAATCAACCATGCCAAAAGTCTAGATGTTAATCTATCCTTTTTTTTAGAAGATAATGATGATGGTTTTGTTATTGTATTTAATAATGTGGGTTGCATGGGATCATTTTGAGCTATACGAATAGGTTTTTTAGAAACTGGCTATTTAGATATGCCTGACAATAGCAATAATGAACCTTTTTCTGACAAATGATATACTGTATATAGATAAGCTTCAAGTATACTAGTACTAGTAAGAAGTGTAAAAGTTTTTTCACATTTTCAACTTTTTTAACTGAAACTAAGCATTTTGTTTCTTTTTTTACAAATTTATCTTTTTTCATATATTTCTATACCCAACTTTTTCCAGGTTTGGGTTTTTTATTAGATGTAGCAAAACTGACTTGTGTTTTTTAGTATTTTGAGAAAAATTAACATTAGAAGGATCTGAATAAGTGAAACTATCTGATGGTAAAGTAAGATTTTTAGAGTTATCTAAAGTAAGTAGTTCAGAACTATATAAAGATTTAGAAGTATATAATAAAGTAGTACGCTTAAGATTAGAAGATGATATTGAATATTTGTTATATAAAGCTGAAGATTCAAAAAGTGTAACAGATATAGAATCTGAATTATATTTTAATATACTATCAGAAGTATCTTCTGATTCATCTTAGAATATAGAATCGTTCTGATCCATTATGACAATTATAATATTTATAAAACAGAATTTATGTAATTTGAAAATAAGATTTAGATAGGTGAAAATAATCAATAAGCAGAAGGATTTTTTGCAAACAGTTAATTGAAATTATAGTTTGCTAATTGAGTATTACTAACCAATAAATTTATTATTTTTTTTTTTTTGGCAATTCTGCTTTTATTATTTAAGTCAGAAGTACCAGAATTTTACATTTATAATAAATATAAATTTTCTATACTATATTTCTGTACTAATAAAAACTCACTTGGTATTAAAGCCCAGATGCGACTCACTTAAGCAGCCAATTTGCTTTATGTTGGATCCTCAATTTTCTGAAAATTTGGTTTCTCTGATCCTTAGCTGGGGGCTGCCGACCTTGTCAATATTACTATTTTTTTTTAGTAATATTGGTTCAGAAGGACCAATCTGGTTTGGCACGATATTTGATTAAGTTTTGACTGTTTTCTTTCATCATGTTTAGGATTCGCTTTTCTTTTTTTTTATAGGTCTTTTTCCGTTCTTCTTTTTCTGTGATCCTATTTTCTTTGTTACTTATACCTGTATTGTTTTCTTCTTACGTACCATTATTTTTTTTCTTTTGACTTCTTTGGTAATTTCATTTTTTTTTTCCCAGTCGTTTAGTAGTTCGCATCTGAAGTTTCAGATACAAGTTCTGAACCTTTCATCGAACTTCTTCTTAATCGTGTCAAGAACTTTACTTCTTATGTCTCTATCTTCTATCCTCTCTGTAATTTCTGCTTTTTTCATTTTGGTTATAAGGTTTCTTATCAGGCATCTTCTTGTTTGTAGTCTCTCTTCTTGTGTTCTTCTGAAGAATAGATTCTTGACCACTTCTATGTTGTTGAGACCTCCTGTATCTTCTTTTTGAAGTATCTTGAGACCTTCGTCGCTAGCTTCATTTTCGATAATATTCCATATACTTTGGTATTCCTTGCATTCAGTGAGATAGACTATATTTTCTGCCTTGTTCTTGCATACTATGCAGGTATTCGATTTATAGATTTCAGGTCTTCTTGTATTTAACTCTGCTAAGATCGGCAGTGTTTCTTCTAGGCACCTGACCTGAAATATCCACCTTTTGTTTTTTTCTCCACTTGTATAGTTCTTTCCTTTGTTTCTATCTATCCATCTCCATATTTCCCTCTATTCAAGTTCCTCTTCTTTATCTCTATCTAACCATTTGCTATTTTTATTTAAATTTAACTATTCTGTATCTAAAGTAGCTAAAACTAATTTGTTTACAACTTCTCTCATTAGACTATCTATTGTAATTTCTCTCCATCTTGTTGCCACCCATGACCTTTTTGTCCAAGACCACTTTGCTATTATTAATTTCTGTTCTTTTGCTTCTTTTTTTGCTAGCTGTCTGTAATTTCATTATATATATTTCCGCTATATCCTCTAACTTTCTTTAGTTGTACTTTAAGATTCTTCAGCTTCCATATTCTTTGAATTTGTCGTATAAGGTTTGCATTTTTGAGCTTGAATGCTTCTCTTTTTTTTTCTATACCGTTTTTGATTTTGAGTGTCTGTATAGTAGCCAGGCTATCTGTATGTATTACTATTTCTGCATCTTCTGGAGCTGCTAGTGATACTGTCCAGATAGCTCCTAGTTTTGCTCTTGTTGAGGATGGCCAGTTTTTAAGTACGTAGTTGAACTTTGTCTTCTCCTCTTTATTTTTTTTTTGGTGGTCTGTGATTGCCACCCAGCCTGCATCTATTTAGGTTTTCTGTAGTGCTTCTGCTTCTTCATATAGAGATCCGTCTATGTAGAATTTTATTTTCTCTGCATCTTGCAGTTTTATGGTAGCTGCTATTAGATCATTTTATCACTCCTTCTCCTCTACTTGGTTTCTTATTTGTTCTTCAGATAGAGTTCCTATTTTAATTTCAGATTGCGCTTCTAGGTTAGGTTCCTCCTCTTCCATACTTCTTTCTTTTCTTTCTTTTCAGCTTAGTATCTCTGGTTTGAGCTCGATTTCAATTTCTTTGTGGTTGGTTGCTAGTTTGTTGATCTAACCTTTCTTTAATACCCTTTTGTTGCTTCAAAAACTTCTAGTAAATAAGCATTGTGCGAAATCTTCTTTGCTTTCGTTTCTGAAACAGCCACTGTATAGTTGGAATCTGATCTTATCTCTTTCGTTGTCTTTTAATCTAGTCTAGTATTCTATGTTGAAGGTTTTCTTCTCTTTGCCATACTTCTTTATTATTTTTCTAACCTCTAGAATACTTTTTCTTTCTTCGAGTAGGATCTACTCTTTAAGCCTCTTATTTGTCTTGATTTCAGTCAGGGTTGCTCTTAAACTCATGCTGTTTCTTTTTCCTTTCTTGTACCTTTCTTTGATTTCTCTTGTTTCTCTACATTCAATTACTTCTTCTTCTAGCTTCTGGAACTACTTCGCTTTCTTTTCTCCTATTCTTGTTCCTCTGCATATTTTTATTTGTCTCCAGGTTATCATTCTTGAACTACTGTGATTAAGTAGTTGTTCTAGAATGAAAATGTTATAATTTTTGTGCTAGAGAAATTTATATCTATTTTCTTCTTTTAGAATATCTGTAATCTTAGTTCCTTTCTTTACTAGTCTAAGATTCTCTTTAATTTCTTCTGATCGGTAAGAGATTTCTAG